ACTAGAGGCTCCTTTTAATAGTGTGGCACTGTAGTTCGCTTCGTGCATCGAAGAATTTCACCTTATTTTTGTGTTTTTTTTCAAAAGGTCCTTGGTGGTGTCAAAGTTTTCTCCTCCTGCATCCACCGGCGACACACTATGAGTTCAATGCCGTCTTCGGGCTTCTGCCTCGACGGAGCAATCTTTTTTAAATCTATAAAACGCCAATAGCCACGATATGTGAAGCAAATTGTGGCTCTGGAAAAGAACGATAACTTCTCATCTGGCCAATGATTTCATATAATCTTTACTACTAGAGGCTCCTCTTTGGGCGGAAAAGAATTCTATGAGACCAGGTCTCACGCGAGACCCATCCTGATGAATGACACGTGACATTTACAAATCACAAAGCATCCCCCATCCCCCACTTAAAATCGGGGAGGGGGGGAGGAGATTAGATGCTTTGTGATTTGTGAATGTCACGTGTCATCCATCAGGATGGGTCTCACCTGCTAATCGCGAGACCTGGTCTCATATAATTTTTTTCCTCTTCGGGCTGGTATAACATCTCGAGCTAGTAAATCTCATAAAAGAAACAATTCATTTCCCCAAAAAATCGCCTTTCTAGAGGGGTCAAAGTAGCAGTTCACTTTGACTTGAAACACGTTTCTTGGTAAGGCATAGTGACAATAGTAGATTTCTACTGGGGGAATTTGAGGATTTGCCACACTTTTCCTTGCATTTTGAGGATTTGCCCTCTTTTTTATTGGCATTGATGATTCTCAAATCCTCAAGTTTTTGGCAAAGTTGTGGAAAATCATCAGTGTCAATAAAAATAAGAGCAAATCCTCAAAGTGCGGGCAAACGTGTGGCAAATCCTCAAAGTACACAGCCAGGCTTCCTGCCGACCAAACTCGTTCTTTAAGCGAAGGAAGAATGGAAAAGTGAGGAAACAGAGGAAAAGATAGGGAATAATAATATGGGAAAAGGAGAGACGATACATGGACAGCTTTGATGCGGTAGCGCTGTGTGGTATTCGCGTTAGAAAGACCCAAGCTGAACTCAATGATAGTTGACGGACGGGAATTGTAACTTTTCTGTGGAAAGATTAAACAAAGGTTATCTGGATCTGACCCAAGGAACATTTCCGACTCCAATCTCTCTATCTCACACACACACACATACACTCTGGATCGGTCTAGCTCTAAAGTAAATATAAACCTCGGCCAGTAACTAATCCTTCCACCGCCCATGCATGTGCACCAATCAACACAAAGTTCTCGGGCAATATTAGCCTGAAGACGCGAAGCGCATGTGAGATACTGATGTTACCAGTCAATCACAGCTATAGCCTTCCCCATCTTGACCTAATCAATGCGTTTCCAGATCGTGTGATCATTTGATTGGCGGGGCCGTTCGTACTAGGATAAGGATCGCCTACTTGTCTCACTTCAAGTGCACATTGTTTACATGACATCAGGTTGTTTTTATATGATCCGAATATCTTTCGCTGGGCAGAGACGGCGACATGGCACGGAAGTCTCTGGAAACATTGTTTTGTTAGGTTCTTGACGCCGGGAAAGATGAAAGCAACCGCTGCTTGACGGCCAAGGCACAGTTCATGAGTGCTACTGGCACTATCGACCATGTTGCTTTACCAAGTCCTGAAGTAGCCTGATAAGGCCTTGCAGGATGTTTAAAGAGGTTTCAGTAAAATAAGTTGCTGCGCCTAGGCGCCTAGCAAAAGAGAAATCGCCGTATACTGGCCCTCCAACTTCTTAAGAGGTTTATCTAAAAGATTCATGATATAACTAGGAAGACCTTTCAAATACCACACATGAGTCACGGGACATGCGAGTTTTATGCATCCCATTTAATATCTTCGTATCCGAGAATCCACAAATACTACCCCGCATTTTTGGCAAAATCTTTCGTCTTCGTTTTCAGCTCTGCAAGTTTTTTTTTAAGCACCGGTGCTTATGGTGTCTAATCAAGCGTTCATCCTCTGCAAATAAGCACCAGTGTTTAGAAAAAAAAGATTTATTCCTTTAAGCACCTTGCATTGTATAAGGTCAAATGATCTGATTCAGACTTACAACCAAATCAATCAATCATTGGTCGGTTTTATACTTTTGTACAATCCTGATATTTTGAATTACCGGCAACCATGTTTTGTTGGGGTAAATCTTCACGTGTAGCACCCCTCTGCAGAAAAATGTACTTCCCTTGAAGTACACTCCCATCACGTAAAAATCCTAGACGTCAATGACATGATAGGAGGTGGTTTGGTCGTAATTCTGAGAGCATGGCGATCGCATGGCCCCCTCATGGTCTATGGAGATGTGTGAGGTAGACTATGTCACCGCCTTTGTGTAGGTTTATTTTGTGTCGACGGGGATGACAAGACGACGATGGTTTTTCTGTGTCAAAAAAAAGTCCTCCCTACTTAGTTCCGGCTCCGACGTTGTTCATTCCAATACCGACAATAACGCATGGAGGCCGAGCCTGCCGATCATTTGCCGCATATGGTTGATTCTCTAGGTGTCGATAGTCGTTGCTTTTTGACTTCATGCAATTGATGTGTTTGTTCATGTTATACCTTAGAAGGGACTTGTTGTCTATTGGTGTGGGGCGAGCATATTTGGGAGTCTTCCTTGGCAACATTTGACGAGCGAGAGTCTCGAAATGGGGCTAGAGAAGCATGAGAGGTGTTCCCTAGCCATGTTCTTTCAGCTAGATTTGATCTCTTACAGACAAGTGATTACTATGGCTTGTCAATCTATCTAGTGATGGTGCTTTTCCAGTTCTTCGGAAGATGGTCCACATGCCTCGTCCTTCTCCCATGGTTGGTGAAAAGACCTATGTTGCCCACTAGGGAGGGAGGTGAGCGGACGTTCTAAAATAATTATAGAGTAGGATTAGTCTTGATGCGTAATTAAACTAGCATGAATCTTTCCACACACACACACATCCTATATATGCTAGGCTCACTGAGGCGCCGACACAATGTTAAACAAGAGTTGCAATTCAAGGAAATTGGCAAGCAATTCAAAACCTGCACACAATATATAAATAATAGAAAGTATGAATTACATAATGTAAAAGGAGATGGGAGATGACACATGTATTTCATGGACTTCAAATATACCAATATTCTAATCACGGTTGAGGTGCCCTCAGATAGACTCTCTCTTGAGGCATTGGCTTCTCGAGAGAATGCCGCTCTGTTCACCATGGATAGCTTATTTCTCCACTCCGAAGATGGCAAACTCCAGGACCAAATCACAAAGAACTCGGGCCTCTTCACAAGCTTCACGAAGAAACTACTGAGCCAACGACAACAAAGCTAGTAGAAGGTGATGGCCTACAAGAGTAACAGGCTCCTGGACTCTCACTCAAACCAATCTACATGGAGATCTCAAACCGAAGCAACTAATGCAGATCAAAGCAAGTTATGCTCAAATTCGCTCTACGCAACTCAACCAAAATGGATTGGATAGGGGACAAACTCCTAGGTCCATGGTTTATTTTCCCTTGCTTAAATTGGAGACTAGGATTTAGGGAGGATCTTAGAGGCCGAATAATGGGGAAATCTCATATTTGGGAACCAGCTTCCCACCGAGAAAGAAGGTAGCTATATATAGGCCCCACTCGCTTAACCCCATGGAGGATCTCATGACATTCACAAAGTGTTTACACAGTAAAGAATACTAGGGGTCTGGACTCCAGGATATTTCAGACTGGTATGGGAGCTACTGACCAGCCAGGACTATTTCCCGGAGCAGCCCCAGAACCTCCGGATCTCCTAGAACATGCAACACAAGAACAATGTAAGTCCCTCATATGAACACCATTTTGATGGATTTCGGCTCTTTGGAAGGTAAAAACAAGCTCTAGGTACTCACATAGAGAACCAACCAAATATAAACCAAAATGAAGGATGCATCACACGCAAATATTAGAGCACTCTATGTATGACATGATCTAGCTAATTGTCTGATAGCCCTCCTTATAGTGTGACTATCAAGCTTATAATCTGCTTCCACCAAGAATTTTGACACCGGTAGAACTAGGAAAATCAGGCAAATGCATACCTTTACCTTGGGCATTCTGCTTGGATTCAATGATGATGTTCATGCTTGCTTCAAGCCAAAATCCTTCTCTAGAGCCCAATTGCTTGGTGGAGCTAATAAATCTATTCCCCAGTTTCTAACATGAGAAGCCTTTCACTAAGAACATTTTCACGAGCACATTATAAAAAAATGGACCACAAGCTTTGTGTTGGGGAACGCAGTATTTCAAAAAAATTCCTACGATCATGCAAGATCTATCTAGGAGATGCATAGCAACGAGAGGGGAGAGTGTGTCTACGTACCCTCGTAGACGGAAAGCGGAAGCGTTTAGTAACGCGGTTGATGTAGTCGCACGTCTTCACGATCCAACCGATCCTAGCATCGAACGTACGACACCTCCGCGATCTACACACGTTCAGCTCGGTGACGTCCCTCGTACTCTTGATCCAGCTGAGGCCGAGGGTGAGTTCCATCAGCACGACGGCGTGTTGACGGTGATGATAGAGTTATCGACGCAGGGCTTCGCCTAAGCACTACGACAATATGACCGAGGTGTAAAACTGTGGAGGAGGGCACCGCACACGGCTAAAGATCAACTTGTGTGTCTATGGGGTGCCCCCCTCCCCCGTATATAAAGGAGGGGAGGAGGAGGTCGGCCGACCACAAGGGGCACGCCCAAGGGGGGGGGGGAATCCTACTCCAAGTAGGAATCGGTCCCCCCTTTCCTAGTCCAAGTAGGAGAAGAAGGAAGGAGAGGGAGAGGGAGAGGGAAAGAGGGGCCGCGCCCCCCTCCCCTAGTCCCATTCGGACTCCCCTTGGGGGGGGGCACCTCCTGGCTGCTGCCCTCTCTCTCCCCTAAGGTCCACTAAGGCCCATTACTTCGCCGGGGGGTTCCGGTAACCCCTCCGGCACTCCGGTTTTATCTGAAACCATCCGAAACACTTCCGGTGTCCGAATAACATGGTCCAATATATTAATCTTTATGTCTCGACCATTTCGAGACTCCTCGTCATGTCCATGATATCATCCGGGACTCCGAACAACCTTCGGTACATCAAATCACATAACTCATAATACAAATCTTCATCGAACGTTAAGCGTGCGGACCCTACGGGTTCAAGAACTATGTAGACATGACCGAGACACATCTCCGTGAAGGAAATATGCCCTAGAGGCAATAATAAAGTTATTATTTATTTCCTTATATCATGATAAATGTTTATTATTCATGCTAGAATTGTATTAACCGGAAACATGATACATGTGTGAATACATAGACAAACAGAGTGTCACTAGCATGCCTCTACTTGACTAGCTCGTTGATCAAAGATGGTTATGTTTCCTAGCCATAGACAAAGAGTTGTCATTTGATTAACGGGATCACATCATTAGGAGAATGATGTGATTGACTTGACCCATTCCGTTAGCTTAGCACTTGATCGTTTAGTTTGTTGCTATTGCTTTCTTCATGACGTATACATGTTCCTATGACTATGAGATTATGCAACTCCCGTTTACCGGAGGAACACTTTGTGTGCCACCAAACGTCACAACGTAACTGGGTGATTATAAAGGTGCTCTACAGGTGTCTTCGAAGGTACTTGTTGGGTTGGCGTATTTCGAGATTAGGATTTGTCACTCCGATTGTCGGAGAGGTATCTCTGGGCCCTCTCGGTAATGCACATCACTATAAGCCTTGCAAGCATTGTGACTAATGAGTTAGTTGTGAGATGATGTATTATGGAACGAGTAAAGAGACTTGCCGGTAACGAGATTGAACTAGGTATTGAGATACCGACGATCGAATCTCGGGCAAGTAACATACCGATGACAAAGGGAACAACGCATGTTGTTATGCGGTCTGACCGATAAAGATCTTCGTAAAATATGTAGGAGCCAATATGGGCATCCATGTCCCGCTATTGGTTATTGACCAGAGAGGTGTCTCGGTCATGTCTACATAGTTCTCGAACCCATAGGGTCCGCACGCTTAACGTTCGTTGACGATATAGTACTATGAGTTATGTATGTTGGTGACCGAATGTTGTTCGGAGTCCCGGATGAGATCACGGACATGACGAGGAGCTCCGGAATGGTCCGGAGGTAAAGATTCATATATTGGATGATATTGTTTTGCCAAGGGGTTGGGCCCATGGGGCTATAAGTCGGTGCAAAAGGAGTTTTGCGGAGGCCAGGGGGCTAAACGTCGGAGACCCTGGCGTCTGGCCCTGGGCCAGACGCCGAGGCCCATGGCGTCTGGGCCAGACGCCAAGGATTGTGGCATTTGGTCCTGGAGTCCGAGTGGGACTCTTGCCTTTCGGGCAAAACCGACTTTGAGGAGGCTTTTGCTCCAAGTTTCGACCTCGGGGCTCAACATATAAATAGAGGGGCAGGGCTAGCACCAAAGACAGATCAAGAAACACCAAGCCGTGTGCCGGCAACCCTGTCCCCTCTAGTTTATCCTCCGTCATAGTTTTTGTAGTGCTCAGGCGAAGCCCTGCGGAGATTGTTCTTCACCAACACCGTCACCACGCCATCGTGCTGCTGGAACTCATCTACTACTTCGCCCCTCTTGCTGGATCGAGAAGGCGAGGACGTCACCCAG